GCATGGATGAGTAAATTTTGCATAAAAATGTGAAATATCCAACTACCTAGACTTAAGTATAAGACTACTTCTTTCACTATTATTCTCGATGTCAATCTTTGCCTAGTCTCTGTTACAGAGAAACCACTTTCAGATGCTATAGTTTGGAAGCTGCATATAATTTGAAAACATCAGAGTCCCATCTGTCTTATGATGGTAAAAGAATTCTTTTGACCTGTTCTGTTACTAAATAAATCCTCTTTGAGAGGCAAGTGTGTCATTTGTTAATAGTATCATTCCACATATTCACACAACACATTTTAGTCACTCCCCAGTTGATGCACATGTAGCTGACCTGATTGTGACTGCTTTTAATGAAGCTCTTATGAACTTTTTAAAGTATGAGTCTTTCTGATTGATGTCTTCAATTCCTTGAACTAAAGATCTGAAGTTAAATTAATCAGTCATGGGATAAATATGATTAACTTTTAAAGACACTGTCAAAGTGTCATCTATAATGACTCTATCATTTTGTGTCTCCTCTAGCCATATATAAGACTGCCACTGTTTCCATGTCTTTGCCATCATTTGGCTCTATGGATCTTAAGTCTGATTATCCTGAATGGCCATAGAGAATTATATCATTGAATGTATTCTCATGGAGCTGAATCTCTCCTTCCCCCCTCCTTCCTCCCCTTTCTCTCTCTCTCTATATATAGGAGTGTGTGTCTGTCTCTCTCTGTCTCTGTCTCTTGTATCTCTATCTCCCATGATCTCGATATTCACTTCCTCCTTCCACAGAGCAGAACCTGAGTGTCTTCTTCATTTTAAATTTTCACTGTAGTCATGGCCATCAATACGGGGCCTCTGAGTGATGGTGCAGTGAGTAGCAGAGCAGACAAGGATTTTCTGAGCTGAGCTACAGAAATGTCTAGGATTAAAAAGCACAGGAATGCTCAGGACCCATTGGTTATTTCATCCTGAGATTGGAGGAAATCAGAACTTCTCAGCCCTCATTGGGGAACAATTCTTTGTTCAGGGAACTTGGTGTAGAGAGAACAGCTTCCAAGAAAGGCTAGGACCACAGACAAGACAAGAGTGCATTGGAGGGGTGAAGTTAAATCAAAGGGCCCCTCTTGATTAGAGAAACCAGGAAAAACTGTGCTGGGTTATGCCAAGGAAGCAGAGAGACACAAGAAAGAAGTTCTTTAGTCCCATACTGCAGTCTCTGGATTATTATTTAGATAATTATGATGGCAATTATAATTAGGGTCCAAGGTCAATTTGCAGTGGCCCTAAAGTCTGTCTGACACTGATAGCCACAACACTTCCTCCATGGAGTCAGGCTGGACTGGGTATGGGCTCCTGATCCTTCAGTCTTTCATACATCCTGTCAGGGTTCTTTGTAATTCTGAAACTTCTATTTTTAGATTTGTATATCAGTTTTATCATAGATTGACCCCAGTGTTGGAGCTATTAAGGCCCCATTAAATACTGGTCATATGGATAAGAGCAAGATTGATCAGGGTGTGGTAAGAGGACATTCCTCCAATTCTGATGACCTAAGTTCTCCCCTTGAGATTAACATCGTGGAAGGACTTACAATAAATTATTCTTTCACCTCCATATCTGAACCATATATGGCCTGGGAGGGGACACACACACACACACACACACACACACATCCATGAAAAAAATAAAGGCAAACAATATTATTTGTTAAATGGATGTGTGACTGTGAAGTTGATCTTGGCAAGAGCTGGCCACTAGAGGAGACACATCACAACAGTGGAGCAAACAGGGGTGGTGGACTTTAAAAGCACCAGAATTTCAGTGTGTTTTATTGAAACAAATGTGATCTAACAGGGAGAGGGTCCATGCAGATCCTAAGATGATTGTAGGAACTAGGGACCCTGGAAGCAGCCTCAGTAAACTGAGTCTTCAAAACAGGTGTTTTAAAAATGCAGGTCACACTCAAAGCTCCTGCATTTGCCCATCTCTCCTGTGACATCCAACTGTGATCTTCTCATAGAAGCCATCTGGCTTCCCCTGTTACAGCTCTCTGACGAGATGAGGGGACAGGGTCCTGGTATCCCAGACGAGCTCCAGAATTCATGCTGGGCTTTTCCAGAAGATCAAAGATAGAACAGAAACAGCACAGGTGACTTTGCCCTGACTCCTGGCCATTGGCTCCTATCATTTTCCCCTAATTACTTCTCGTACAATAGGAACTTTGATCGACCACAGGTTCCACACCTACATATTTTGGTTTAAATACCTGTCTGAGCAATACTTACACTTCCTGCTTCCTGTTTGTGAAACGTGGTCCTCCTAGCAGCACAGACTCAGGCCTGAGAGCCAACCATGCCACGGAACCAACTGCATAGCTGGCTGAATGCTGTGTTCTTTGGGCACCTGCTTCTCGTCCATGCGCAGGGTGAGGCTCAATACACTAGCAATGGGGAATGACTGAAGTTGAAGCTGCCAAGTTCTGTGGGTCATAAGCTGAGCTTATGGGAGGGAAGGCATGGAGGGCAGTTGATGATGGAAATGATGCATAGTGATTCTCAACCTGGGGTCACAACCATTGAAATCCCATGTTTCTGATGGTATTAGAACCCACCCAGACAGATGTTTATTTTTGTTTCAACTTCCTAACTGTAATGTTGATCATGAGTGGTTTCTCAGCTCCTAAGAGCATCAGAAATATGTGTTTCCCATGGTCGTTATCCACAGGTTGATGACTGGTACAATAGATAAAAGTATAAGAGACGTGCCAACCAATTCCCCAACAAAAGCACACAGTTTTGAAGGCCCACTAGCACCTAGAGGGTCAGAGACATCTAAGATTCCTCTCTACTGAAGGAACAGTTTAGTATTAGGAGCTTTGAAGAGAATAGCAGATAATTCAAGGAAAAATGTGGAGGTATTTTTCCCTCCTCAGTGTTTGTCAATGACTGTAGCTACTATTGAACTTTGGATAACAGTGACAATCATCATGAATTCATGTGGCCAAACAGCTCTGAGTCTGTGACCTCTTTGACCAGAGAAATGCTCTGGTACCCTTCAAAGGGGTAATAGGAAGGGTTCCTGGGCCTAAGGGTTACGGTAACTCCCACATTCATACACCATGGGTGAACTGGGGTTGGGGAGGCTGGGTTTCCTTCTCCTGTGCCCTAATAACAATGAGATGAGAATCTCACAATCTGCTAGCAGCTGATTACAGAAAACTGAGATGGCATCTCTCTACCAGGTCAGGACTCACCAGAGGCCAGCCCCATCAGAAACACCCACACTGGCCAGGTCCAAGGCAGGCTTGTCCACGTGAAGGACACTAATGCTAGTGTCCACACCTTCCTGGGAATTCCCTTTGCCAAGCCTCCTGTAGGACCACTGCGCTTTGCACCTCCTGAAGACCCTGAGCCATGGAGTGGTGTGAGAGGTGGGACCTTACAGCCGGCCATGTAAGTTCTGGGACCCAGAGGGTTTCAGGCACTGGGGAGACTGTGCTCTAAGCTCTGGGCCATGCTTAAGTGTCTCATCCATCTCAGCTACACAGCAGTTTTCTCTCTTTGGGTTTGAGTGCCCAGTGCATTTTTCGGGTGATGTGCTAAGGCTGAGTAGAACAACTGGGCCAGGCTTCTGGGTCAGAGCTTGGCACTCATAGAGAGCTAAATGCAGGTACTATTTTTTCCATTAATTTATTTATTCACATTACCTCTCAATCCCAGTTCCCTCTCTCCTCCCAACCCTCCCTTATATAGCCTCTTTTTCATCCCCCTCCCCTTCACCTCTAAAAAGGGGGAGGTCCCTTACAGTGAAGCAATGCACCCTGGCACCTCATGTCACTGCAGGACTATGTATATCTTCTCTCACTGAGGCCAGAGAAGCTGGCTCAGTTAGAGGAGTAGGATCCAGACTCAGACAACGAATTCAGGGTAAGCTCCTGCTTTCATTGCTGGGGACCCACATGAAGGCCAAGAAGCACATCTGCTACACATGTGCAGGGGGCCTAGGACCAGCCCTTGTATGCTCATTGGTTGGTAGTTCAGTCTCTAATAGTCCCCATGGGTCCAGGTTAGTTCATATTGCTGGTCTTCTTGTGGAGTCCCCATCCCATCTGGGTTCCTCGATTCTTCCCCCAACTCTTCCACAAGACTTCCCATGCTCCATCTGATGTTTGGCTGTGGGTCTCTGTATCTGTTTTGGTCAGCTGCTGGGTGAAACCTCTCAGAGGACAGTTATGCTAGATTCCTGTCTGTGAATCTAAGCAGAAATAAACGTAATCCAAAGCTCTAAGGTAATTGGAGGAAGGCAGACCTGTAATGTGCCTGAATAGATCTTCTGAGAACAGCCCAGACCATTTCCCCCCTAAATTGGCAGAAAGTGCTACTGGATTCACTTATGTCTGTCTCACAAAAGACATCTGTGTATCTAGGCCAGCAGTGACAAATATAGATGTCAACAGTGTCTTCACATGTTGTTTCATTGTGATAAGTCTTTGACCAACATGGAGGCATCAAGGTCTCACAGTGTGTCCCTGTGAATCCACTACCACTGCAGACACTGTGTTTATTGTTTCTACTATCCACACATAGACCTCCATGGAGATATGGTTGAGTGGCACATTCATAATAGTTGAGTTCACAGTGATCTCCCAGGAATCCAAGTGCACAGTCAGAGAAGTAAGCCCCAAGAGCATCCTGACATGGGGCACCATATAGACATGGCTGGAATCCACAATCATGAATTTCTAACTCAATTTATACCAGAGTACTCTTGAGGACAGACACATGTGTATCATCCTATATATTGAGGTATACAGCACCATTCATGCAGTGATAAGAAATGCATTTATATACATTCAAGTCACAATGCCTGCCTTGATATCCATGTGCACAGAAGCAGGAATAGCTGTCTTGGTCCAGTGGAGCATTAAACAGGGGTATGAGGAGATCACTTAAAAGAGAAAGTTGGGGACAAGCCAATGCAAAGAAGGTGATCTGCTTATAGTCTGATCAAATTGCCAATTTTACTTTTTTCACACAGGGGTTATATACACAAAAAGGCAAGATGTGGGGAAGGGGATGACACAGGAGCATGGGTATTCAGGGAGAGTACAGATATCTTCCAGAATAGAGTATCAGCTGGACAAAGGTTCAGGGGACATGTCACTATGACTCTGACTATGATTCACTTGTCCTTATCTAAGTTGGTACTATCCACCAAGGTTACCTATCTACAAGGTCTATGACTATTCAGCCTTATAACGGCCCATTCCTTTGTAACGGCCTGTTCTGCTACTTTGTAATGGCCCATTCTGCTGCTCTGGTCTGCAGGTCAGGGTCTAACAAGAGACAGAGTGGGGACTGAGGGGCAAGAGACACAAAAGATGGATACAAGACAGAGTCTGGTCAAGTCTCTTCAAGTCTCTTTTATAGAAAGGAAATCCTGGGTATTTATACCCTTTAACATGTGACTTGCCCTCATGGACAAGCTTAACTGAAGGCACTACGTCATGTGTCTTGTAGCCATGGATACTACATGCACCTTGCAGCTGGGGGCACTAAACAGTGTAACAAGATGTTTATCAGAGTGTGCTCAGCTGTTTCTGGCTGTTGAAAACAAGTCTCTTGTCAGGGTATATGGCTCAAGATGGCTGTAAAGATGATAGCTGCTTTCGGCTAAGAGTTGGTTCCCAACACAGCCTGGCAATTTTCCAACAAAGCTGCTTCTTTACAATAGCTTATAGTCATCTGTTTCAGTGTTTTTCCACAGAGACCCAAGACTTTGTGTTTAGCAGGCATGTATGTCAGGCCTATTGCTGATTTTAGGCCTATGGCCTTCAGTGTATAAGTAGGGCTACCCCTGACAAATAGCTATTGATTTCATCCTGGCACACAACCCCATGGTGGCAAGGTCTGAAAGCACTCTCATTTTGCTCTGTCTCACAAAAACCTTCCAGCATATCCAGCAGGGGAGATGCAGACATGCTGCTCAGAGTTTCTGTGCCAGGTGCCTCCATGTTGGTAGTCACTCTTGCCATAGGTGTTAGTTGCGGTCTCCAAGGTCAGCCCACTCTACCTAGGATGCTATTGAACTGCAGGCACCATGGAAAAGAACAAAGATAAAATTGTTCACTGATTCAAATTAAGTCCAGTGTCCTCTGTCAGTAGGAGGGATCTCCAGACATCAATTAATGTGACCTATTAGACATTGGTCATCCCTGAATCCAGGAGAATACACTTCAGATCTCTGAGGAGTACAACAGTGATCAATACTTGCTAACTCCACCTTCAAGGTCACTGTGACAACCTATAGAGCCATGTGACATTGACCAGGGAACAAGTGTATGTAATTATTTCCCTCTGGAGACAATGCAGGCAAGAGAAGCTCCCTGAGAGTCTGTACATGTGATGAAGGAACACTCACAACCCCTTAGGTCAGTATTGCCCACTGAATCCACTAGTAGCTTGGTGAGTTCAACACTCTAATATGGGTATCTTAGATTGTTTTCTGTTTCAGTAAAAAAGTACCAACAAAAGCATCTTAGAGAAGAAAGGTACTATTAGAGGCTCCAGATTACAATCCATCATTTGGGTAAAAACAGTGAATCAAAACTACAGGAGCTGCTCACATCACAGCCATGCCCAGGAACAGAGACTAGAGAATGTCTGCGTGCCTGCTAATGCTTAGCTTGATTTTTTATTCTTATAAAATCCCGTGAACGTCACTACAGACAGCCAATCATTTCCATAAAGACACCTAGCTGTTTCTCTATCCCAGACTCAGAAAGATAAAACCCAGGCTCCACATGACTGGTGGCCTCCCTAAAAATCTGTCTCCAACAGTTTTCACAGGCCCTTTGGCTGAGAGAATATCTATCGCCACACTCACATTGGGTTTTGATCACCATCTGTGTCTTGGAGTATCTGTCTGCTCTTTTCATCAGGTGTCTGCAAAATCTTGAGCTACTGTACCCAGAGGGCCTGAAGAAGATGAAACTGAACCTGTTTCCCTTCTCTATGTCTGAGGACTGCCTGTATCTCAACGTATACACACCAGCCCATGCCCAGGAGGGCTCTAACCTACCAGTGAGTGTCAGGCCATGTCGAGCTTGGGGAGAGGGCATTTTTGTCAAGATGATAAGAAGGGACAAACCTGAGTTCCACTGCAGGGTGGACCCTGATGAAAGTCTTAGATTACTGGGGTCAAATGCCATCTCAGCTACACGATGCTGCTGAAACCTGGGTATGGGACACAGAGCACTGGAGCACTGAGCCATCAAAAGTTCCAGCTCTTTGATACAACCAGAACTCATTCTACAACTTGTGCTCAGACGAACCAATTAGGGGCTCAAAACATCAACACTGAGGTCACCCAAACGTATAATTTTGGATTATCTGTTGTGACAATGAGAGTTGATCATCCTTTCCATTTTTTTTGTAGTTCAAGATTTTATTTTATGCATTTTTTCTTAATTTCATTTAAAATTGTCCACACTACCTATTTCTATTATTATTTTTTTAATAATTTATTTATTTTTTCAAATCATAATTCATTCACACAGGGGTTATAGACACAGAAAGGCAGGATGTGAGGAAGGGGATGACATTGGAGTGTAGGTGTTCAGGGGGAATACAGATATCTTTCAGAACAGGGTATCAGCTAGGTGAAGGTTCAGGGGACAGGTCACTATGACTCTGCCTATGATTCACTTGTTCTTATCTAAGTTGGTATTGTCTGCCAAGGCTACCTATATACAAAGTCTATGACTACTCAGGCTGGTAAATTTCCAAGAAAGCTGCCTGTTTACAATAGCTTATAGCCATCTGTTTCAATGTTTTTCAACAGAGACCCAAGACTTGGTGTTAGTATATGATAGGCCTATTGCTGATTTTAGGCCTATGGCTGATTTTAGGCCTACAGTGTGTAATCAGGGCTGCCCCTGACATCTCCTCCCTTCTCTAAGTATAGAAGGGCTGTGGCAATTCTAAACTTGTGAAGGCGGAGATAGAGGCCTGACCTTCAGTATTTGAAGGGGACCTTGTAATGGCTCCAGTCCCCCTGTCATTGTCCAGTGAGGCATGAGGGCCATACCCATCCTAATGTCTTTTTCCTGGAGAGGGGATACTTTTGACATCAACCCCTATGCAGTCAGGCTTGTCCCTCAGGGAACCCAGATAGATATTTTTATCTTTTATTTATATTCCCTTGCAGTGCTTAGCCTCGCAGCCTAAGCAAGAATTCAGATCGCCTGTCAGAGGGGATTCTGGGTGGCCCCTCTCTGCTTGGTCTAGGGGCAGAAGTCCCCCCTTTTAGGTTGGGTGGAGATGGGTTTTGGAAACACCCTGTATAAAGTAACAACCTCATCTTGAGTCTCGTGGTCCTCCATAGCTAACTTATGATAATGTATCTGAGTAGGTTTTGCTACCAAATTATTTATCTGTTGTATCACAGAGTTAGTCTGCCTATTTGAGGGCCAAGGACCAGCAGGAAAAAGCAAAAAGAACCCAATAATGGTCCCAAGATGGAAGGACTTAGGGTTGACAACCTTGGAGAGGCTGCAAACCAATTCTTGTACCAGCATTCATCTGTCTCTTTCTCTCTCTGATTTTTCTTAGGGCCTTCACTACCTATTTCATGCTCTCTTTAACACTCCTTGTCTTGTCTATGTAAAGGCAACCTTCTTCTTTGAGGGTTGTACACAGTCAAGAGCTGTATACAGCCTTTTCTACTGTACTAGAGTAAATCAAGTCCAATAAGGATCTTTGCTATTTTAGGAGGTATCTTCAGACGGCGAAACAAGGGATTTCTTCAGATTAGTGATGTCAGTCTCTAGCTGTTTGATGTTCTTGTCAGTAGCCCTTCAAAGATCTGAGTAGTATAAGTTCGGAGGCCAGCATCTGGATTAGAACTTCTAACAGCAGACATCACGGGTGATTCATTTTTACCTGGAAAGGAAAAAGAAAGGAATTCTCAGGGAGATTTCTCTTCCCTGGATGTAAATTGTTATTCATCTTATTTATGGTTGGGCCTGGCTTTGCGGGGTTATCTATTTATTTCATTAATCTTTTTGGTAGCCGGTTAGCTGTGCCTTCTGTGGTGTCAAACAGGCATATCAATCCTTGGCCCCATAAGGGAACTGGGTCTGGGCCATTCCCTTTAAGGGTAAGAGGGTCCTTCCCCATATCTGTGGCATAGTTTTTATTGGTCTCAGTGATGCCAGAGGCAGTCAGCAGCAGATTTGCCATGAGCTTTCAGTTTTAGAGAGTTAAAAGTGAACAAGGCATGATGGAGAGTATTTCAGGGGGACTCCTTCTGAGGGGGTACTGTTCCCCCTCTTTTGTTTTTACAGCCAATTTTTCAGAGTTCTTGTAAAATCAGGGCAGAAGCGCCAACAGTCGCTCCTTCCACACTCAGAGAGTCATGAAGACCCTATTTAAGGATATATAAATCTATATTAATAATCTTTTGTCAAAGGACTGTTATAGCACTGCTGTCAACTAATCAGACTATATAATATATCGATTAGTAATAGCTTCTTCTACTTTTTGTGAGATTACCTCTCTTTTGTCAATTAATTGTTGAGGAAAATTGGGTTTACATCTCTCTTGAGAATATTGAACAGAGACTTAAATTCTTTTGTGGAGAGCTTAAAATAGGATCTTAGCCAATTAGCAACTCCTAGAAACTTTTGAAAATAGTTTAAAATAAGTAAACTCTCTCCCTCTCTTTTTTTTTAGACCCTTTATCTGTGTGGTTTTTTATTGGATATTATACATATTTACCTTTCAATGTTATCTCCTCTCCCATTCTCCCCCAAAACCCCTTATCCCATACCCCCTCCTCCTAATTTTTGTGAGGGTGTGCTCCAAACATCCTCCCAGTCCAATCTCCCTGCTCTCGAATTCCCACACAGTAGGGGATCCAAACTTTCGGGGACCATGGCCCTCCACTTTCACTGAAGTCTAACAAGGTCACCCTCAATTCCCTATACAGGTGCATGAGTCTTTCCCATTGTCCTCTCTGGCTGGTGGTTTAGACTTTGGGAGCTCTGGTTGAAACTTTTGATACTCCTTCTAGAA